CTTCATCTGATTATCTTCCATATTTATGTTGTAACCATTTGCAAGTAATTGAAATATGCTTAACAAATTACTTGTTATAGAAGGTACATACAATACATCAGAAATGGTAACCTTCTGGTCATATTTTCTCACCACAGTTATGTTTCACTTATTCATCTAACATGATGAACCATTTGTTGTTACTAGTCATGTGATTTCTACACCTTGAATCTAGATACTGCACCTTAGCTTGATCATCGCAAGGCCGAATGTTGGCCATTAGCACCAAATCATTAGAGACACTTCCTCCTGGATGAGTGTCATACCCCAAATGTGTCATACCTGTGTATAGCTTTCATTATGTACATCCATCCACTAATCATTATTCAGAAAATCAAAAAAATATGTTACTTCTGTTTGCTCAGGGTATTACAGGGTTGAAATGAATTGAAGTAAGGTTCATTCGAGGTTTATCAGTAGGAGTGTGTGGGCTCAATGGTGGCTAAGGATCAGTCAGATCTGACCTAATCTTGGTTCGACCAGTTGGTTTTAAGATCAAGGTCTGGGTTTGATTGGTTTATGTGGTGTGAGTCTGAGACCCTAATTAGGGTGCGTGCCAGTTACAAGTATATGAATCAAGATATCAGGTTGTGCTGAGTTCAGATATTTCATGATGAAGAATCATGTGGAACTTGTACTTTTCAATTAGGGATTTTGGTACAGTATAATGCAATCATTGGTTTCTTATCTAGTTCATTGTCAAAGATTGGCTTATCAATACAAGAGGAAAAATTCAACATTGATCCATAGTTGTTCATTTCTCAAGATTAAGCATAAGGCATGTCAGATGTAAGTTGATCATAATTGGTGTTTTTGTTCATCATTGTGCAAGAGCAAAGCCAAGGAAAGCGTTCAATATTTTAGGTCTGGATCATGTGATTCATATACTTTTCATTGGTTCAAGGAGAAGGCCATCTCAAGATTGATTCATTCTTTTGTCATTTCTCAAGGTTTGAATCAAAGTTTTAGTTCATTTCAAGATTGATTTTATTGAGGAATTCAAAGAGTGGGAAGTAGGCTTTAAGTTGATTTTTTCTTGGATTCTATTCAAAGTACTTACGAATCAATCAAATTTCAAGCAATATTTATTCAAGTTACCATTAAATTCCAAAGACTATCCAAAAGTCCATGTTACAAAACCAAAGTCCATGCGTACATTTACACAAAAATGCACAAAAATAAATTCATTGTAAAGCCACATGATCTATTTACAAAGATCATAAGCCCGTTACCAATTACAAAAATTATTACATAATCCATAAAAATAAAAATAAAACCCCACCATAAAAATTCAAGCCCATTGTGTAGTCCATTACACAAAAAATAAAAATATAAAGGGGGAAAAGTGTTTGTCTTTACAAAGCCCATTACAAAAAAATAAAGTCTAATGTCCAATATCCAAAAAATTTCACAAAAAAGTACATATAGCACAACACAAAGGATAAGAACAACAAAATTATGCAGCTAGCTATGACTTTCTTCAAGCGAGCCGATCCATAACATGCTGCAACGAGCCAATATCCCGCACCGTTTACCTCTCACTCCTCGTGATGCATACGCACTACACCGTTACACCAAAACTTGCAGTAGAAATTCTTACAAGTCACACACAGGATTGATATAACACAATCTTTCCATAAATATCATGCAAAGCAAAACTCAGGGACCCCACAAGCAACAAATACGTACAGATGATAAAACTTTTGCAGCAACAAAACTAACACCACTTAGAAACCCCATAACTTATGCACCAAATTGAAAAACCTCAACACAATTCAACCCTTCATCTTTTCGTGGTGGTCTCCACGAACTACGGACACTCTGATTCTTCATTCTCATCTGAATGTAAGATACGTAGGCACAAGATTGCGATGATCTTGGCGAGCTACCTCCCCTTCATCTTCCGTTCCCCCCCATCCTAGAGCTCTGATTTCTCATTCTCGTCCGAATGAGCATACGTAGGCACAAGAGCTTCAGTCTTTGGCGAGCACTCTATCCTATAACCACGCATTTTCCCTTAGCGTCTTTATCCTTTTTATCCTACCGATTCGCATTTATCGTTGAGAAGAAAACAATCAAGCTTAGATAACGCCCATCGCAAATCACCTTAAGAGGTTTTCTTTGAGTACAACGGACGTGAGGGGTGCTAATACCTTTTCTTTGCGTCCCTTTGCGTAACCGACTCCCGAACCCGGAACTCGGTTGCAACGACCCTGTTCCTGTCCTTTCGTTTTAAAAGGTTTTCTTGATATTTTCCTTTCCCGTTTATTCAGGATAAATAAAGTTTGGTGGCGAATCTGTCGAACCGCATTTCTGCGCCTTTAGCGCGAGGGTCGTATGTTCGAATGAATTTTTGAGGTGCGACAATGAGGAAACTGAATTTCTTCCTTATCTTTTGCCCTTACCTTCTTTCTCAGATAACAATCTCTTACATAATGGCCAAGTCCTTGAAAACTATAGCATCCCGCCTCCTTCATGTCATTTTTCTTTCTCGATTTCTTGTTGAACATGCCTTTCTTAATTGAATCATTGTGATTCTTTGAATTCTTGCTTAAATTCTCATGAGTACCAAGATTCTTTCTCTGCATCTCTTTCCCTTTTCAGCTTTCTTAATGAATTTTGCTTGCAGTGTCTGTTCAGCCACCTTCACCCTCTTTGCGCTTCTTTGCTTCAATCTCATTTCATAAACTTTTAATGAAGCTTGAAGTTCTTTTAACTTCATTTCAGCTATATTCTTAGACTCTTCTATCGACACTACAATGTAATCAAATCTTGCAGTTAAAGATCTCAACACTTTCTCGATCTTTTAAAAATCATTGATTGATTCACCACATATCTTCATCTGGTTTGTTAGCAACACCACTCGTGAGAAGAATTGTGAAATTAACCTGTCTTCATTTGCATTTATGTCTAATACCGATACTCCAACATATGCAATTTTAACCACATGTTAAAATCTAAATATGACATTCATTTCTGTAATTCATCTCTCATAGTTTTCATCATTAAAAAATGTAGATTTTGTTGAAAATTAGTTCGATGTTGTACTTTCATTTGCTATTGCAAATAACTGTAATTAATTATACATTCTCAACAAACACGAAGACTAATGAAGTAGGTATCAAATTTGCACGACAAAAATATATTTTTTTAAAGCCAAAATAAACCATATAAAAGAATCAATTCATTGAAGGGTCTTGCTAACCAGTGCCCTCAGGGCACTATTTAAACATTCCATATTAAGAAATTATTTTTTAAAAAATTCAAACACTTTCATTTCCAATGCACATTATTACACATTATTGCACATATTTTTATAAAAATTTACTATTTAAAGTTTTAAAAAGTGTCCTAAAGGCACTGGTTAGCATTTCCCTTCATTGAAACACAACGCATATTCATAGCCGATTTAGACCTGAGTTTCACCAAAGCCAAAAACAAAGGAAACCAACGAAAGAACTAATTACAATACATAATGGAAAACAAAAAAACAATATTAAAAACTCATTTTTTCCATACATAAGTTAGCAACATTTTCCCAAAAAAAAGAAGAAAAACGCATGCCCCAAGATCCCCACCTCTTTAGCTTACAATTGACTCAAAATAAAAAAATTGACCACTCACGTGCTCCTCACATGTTACTGCACCCAATTTTCATCAACATTTTTTCCCTTTCTTCAGTTCTCTCTTTCCCATATATAAAAAAACGCAAAACACTGAAAATAGTACACACCCGTTGTTTTGGAAAAAGCAATTTCATTATTCAGTCGTGGGAAGGAATCAGAAAATAAAAACTGAAACAAAACAGCACAGTAACACTAGTACAGCAGAGTAGCAGAACAACCAAAACGTAACATGTAATGATAAAAGTGTTTCCCATTTTTAACCGCGTGCCGTAAAATCTCTTACACTGCACCACTATCTTTTTTGTACACACACAATTATTACCAACCGTACCCCCTACCCTACTTAAAACTACTACTAACATTATTTTTTATTTAAAATACTATTTATTAACCAAATTATTCATAAATAGGAGTAGTAACTTTATTTAATTTCTTTAATTTAAATGTCTTCTCGATATGAGGTAGACATAAAGGAAGAATATATAACTAGGGTTGAGACTGTTTTTACTTTTTACTCTATCTAGTCTTTTTATATAAGAGTGATATGATGAGATACTGAAATAGGGTCGCACAGTAGATAGCGTACGACACGCCACACTCAACCACCATCACCGCTTTTATCAATTATCACACTTTTCAAAACCATCCATAATATCCACTGCACCGTCTCGAAATTAACATCGCATTAATAAAAGTATAAAACGCCACCGTTTTCTCAATTAACCGAACAATTTTTTTTTCTTATAAAAGCATGTTTACGGAGATTAAGATAAGATTTTGTTTTTATTGTGATGTGTGTTGGGAAGCACGGGTGTTGAAAAAACGTGTGGGGTTGCGTTTATGAATTGGCTTTTGGTTAAAAGAGTGAGTTATTAATACAAGAAAATGGCCGTTGCAGACACAACAACAGCGACATTTGCGCGCGTCTTACGTGTCAGCTTTTGCCGCACACTCGTCGCTTTCCAACCCTACCACGTTGACTCCACGCGCCTTTTCCCACGCGCACCTAATCTAATCTATCCCTACGAGGTTTACCTCGTTTCTCTATTGGGGAACTGTCAGGTAGATAGATCAATGCTCCATGGGTCCCACATCCATAACTATTTTATTTTTCACTTTTTTTTTACTAACTTCCTAATGAAACAAAGCAAAAACTGCAATAATACAACGATGTGATAATCGTCTAAAAATGGATTAAAACAAATAAGCATAGAAGATTGAACAAGTGATTCTGGATCAAAATGACTTTTTTTTTACCATTCATTAAGTAAAGTTTTTTTTTTCTCTAAGAAACTAAACTCTCGCTAATGTAATTGATCATGTTCATGTTTATGTTCATGACATGTTAACATGGATACTAGCAGTTTTGAAAGATTTACAAATGGGACAAATATGAAGATTAGACCCACAAACAGCACATAAACAGAGATGTCTACAAGGCAAAATCAACACACAAGATTCATCTTTCCCACAGTTGCTGCATAGTTTCATGCTATTCACAAAATTGCTTCCACCACTATCACCACCACCGCCACCGCCACCACAGTTTCTGATCATCTTCATTGCTTCAATGTTTCTACCATTACTATTATCATTATCACCTATACTTCGCCATTCCACAACATTTTCTTCATCATTGATACTCTCATTGCTATCGCAACAAGACTCAGCGTCGTCGATTAGAGCAGCGTGTCTACCAACCGGAGAAATAGTATCTCCGTTATCCTCTCCCACGCGTTGTGCAAGAAGCTGTTCGAGATTGGAACGCAGAGCATTGGCTGTGGCTTCATTGCTTTGAGCCAAATCACGCCATATTTGATTCTCCATGCAAAGTGACTTAACTCTTTCTTCTAAAGCCCAATTAGTTCTAGCAATTTTCTCAATTTCTTCTTCTTTAGCCTTCAATCTCTTTGACACACTCATGTCAATAGCTTGAATCAACCTCATCGCTTGTCTCTTCCTTTTCTCTTCAATCTCAAATTTCACCTTCTCCATCTAAACAATAAGTAAAAAAATGATCAGAACAAGATTTTCTTCTCTAAATAATAAATGTTCATATGAAATGAAACTTGATACTATTAGAGTCAGAGTGCTTACTTGTTGTGCAATGAGTTGATCGATGTCAAGTTGTTGCCTTTGGATCTGAAGGGAAATGTCTTCACCAAGAAAAGAGAACGACGAAGAGGCACAACTTTTGTTATTCTGTGGCGCTGTTGCAGGAGGAAGATAAGAATTCTGAAAAGCGAAATTGATTGAATTTGAATAGTCTCTGGAATCTCTAGAACGTTTTCTCAAGGGAACGTTATAAGTGAGACCACTATCAGAGTTCATAGCAGTTTTCTGAGGTAACGAATCAGCGGTTATAGAGTTGTACGGCGGTAGAATAAGAGCCTCCGTCGCAGCGGTTTTGATAGACGACGGAGGAACAGAGGAATAACCCATGTTGTTGTAGATGTTATTCACGTTTGTTTCAACAGGGTTCATCATTTCTCTGCAGAAAACAAAACATAGAAAATTAAAATCTCGTGAAATAAATTATAGGTTATAATAGAGGTTAAGATAATAGAAAAGAGATAGGAGAAAGGACATGGGGTTATATTATGTACCTGTTGGTTATGAGTTGAGGGGAAAAGAGGTGAAGATGGCGAGCCTCAACGGCCATGATAAAGAAACAGAGAGAGAAGAAGAAGAAGTAGAAGAGAGAAAAAAAGGATATGAAATGGAATGGGTTGTTTTGGGATGTTTATATGCGTTTTTGGAGGAAAGAAAGGAAGAATAGATACAAGTAGTGAAATGAAAACCGAAGAAAATAAATGGCATACTGACAACTCTATATGGTGGGGTTTTTCAAAGTTTTCCTTGGTATGGTCCACACACTATTAAAAAATTGAAATCAGTTTTGGAAAAATAGAAAGAGTAAAGATAGTGTTTGTTTCTGTGAATCAGAGAAATTTATTATTTTTTGTTTTCTAAAAATATAATTCTGAGGCAAAAAAATGGAACAGACAAGTCAAGCGAAGTTATTGCCATTTTCTAGGGGTAGTTTAGTAAAAACAACAAGTAAAAAAAAAAGAATGGTAAAAGCGCCACGTAATTGTGCCAACTAAGAAGCGCCACGTAGGAAACGCTAGAGTCCAAGGTTGTTGTTTAGTTATATTTCTGGTCGTGGAAGGAAGAACAACGTGATAATAGTGGGACCCAGGAGAAACGTGTGTGGCAGGGTTGTGAGGGAACAGTGTAAGGTGAGAATAGTGGGCACGTGCGAAGTGCCAGCGTGGAAGGAGGCGTGGGACCCGGTGAAAGGGTACGGTGTACCCGGAGAGAGAGTGGCGAGAAAAATAATGTTGTGTGTTGGTTGAGTCATGGAATGGGAAACGTTGCTTGTTGGACCATTTTACGCCACGTGTCGTTTTTGTTTGCTTAGATTTTTGTCCATACTCTCTTTCTCTCTCCATTCTACGCTGTACCTATACGGTTGTTTTGGAAAACCGTAGCCCTTGGAAATTTCAAACAACTTTGATTCGGCCTGTTTAGATAGTTCATCATATCAATGCTTTTTAAATGCTTTTTACATGAATGTAATCGGTAAAGGTTGAATAGCTTGTTGACAATAATAATTTAATTTGTTTGTTGATTAAGAAAATAAAAGATAATAATATTTATTATAGTTTGAAAGAGATGTTAAAGTAAAAGATGACATAAATATGTGTATTTATAAAATAACATAAAAAAATTTAAGTTAAAATTAAATATGATAAAGTTATTTTAGAAATAAAATATTATTTTTATTACAATCCACAGAATATTAAAAACCAATAAAAAGTACTTCGTAAAACTTAATTATTTTAATTTAGTAAATTATAAATAACTTATGAATAAAGAAAAAAAATTAATGTATTTAGTTTTTTTTAGATTAATTGTTTAGTGGTTAAAATTAAGATGAACAAGTGAAATATTACCGATTCAAATATGCGTTCTTGCAACGGATGATTTTGCACAGCTATCGACTTAAATGGATTAAGAGGACATGTATCAATTATATGTTCGAGTTTTCTTGTTATTATTGGAACATTCAAATGGTCATATATTAATTACAACGATTCTCTCACTTGTTTTAATAATGACGAGAATAATTCGAGAAAATGAAATAAAAAATATTTGTACAATTAAATATCTTTCAATTTGAACTTAACCTTATTAAAGACAAATTAAAGTTTAATCAAAATTTTAGGTAATCGGACTTTGAACCTATTATTCCTTGCAATTAGACCGACGTTGCCTTACAGACTCTCTTTAATAGTTTATTGCCTACATCTCTTACCTAACATTATTTATGGCAATGTGTTTTTCTTGTTTGGTGAATTTCGTATTGTATCTACTTTACTTTAGATACATATTATCGATATTGAACTTCATTAAGAGTTTGAAAAACTCAACCCTCAAAATGCAATAGTCAATATTATTACATAATATTGAACAAACATCCAAATCAACGACTTGTTGTTGTCTGTTAAATCTTGAGGTTAATGTTCTCTTAATGTTAGATTATGTTGCTATAGTAGTTGGAACTCTTACTCTAGGAGTTTCAATCATATACCTTTTGAGGTAGCCTTTACTAAATCTCCGACCAATGGTTTAGTAAATGGATCAGCTATATTATAGCTTGAAGGTATATATGTGTGTGCAAAATGATTTCATCCCTAATCAATTTTTTCACGAAGGAATGTGATTTTCCATTATACCTTTGAAACATTGTCTTTATCTAATGGAACTTCCAACATAAGGTCACTCAACCATTTAACTTCTTGACCAACAGAAGCAATAACCACAAACTTTAATTCCATGGTTGAGAGAGTGATACACGTTTGTTTCTTGCTCTTATAAGAAATTGCACCCCAACTGATGTAAATATTCATTTAATTGTAGAATTATGATCTCTAATACTCGATATCCAACTCGCATCGGTATGTCTTTCTAGTATGGCAAGAAACATACCATAATGAAGGCCAATATTTTTTATTTTCAAAAGATAACCTAAAATCCTTGTGATGGTTTTCTAATTCTCACCATTTGGATTGCTAATAAACCTACTCATTTTACTAACTGCAAAAGATACGTCGGGTATAGTAAATTGCATAAAATACATTAAACAACTAATTACACTTTCATATTTCCATTGAGCTATAACTTTTCCATCATTCTTTTGAAGCTTGACACTAAGATCAAATTGAGTACGCACTTCCATAAAATGTAAGTGTTTGAACTTATCAAGCATTTTCTTAATATAATGTGTTTGGCTAGGTTCATAACCCTCACTATTTCTCTTTACCTTAACCCCTTAAATAATGTCAACTAGTCCAAGATCTTTCATCTTGAATGTGGAAGTTATAAACCTCTTTGTTTCTAAAATTCAATCTATCTTGTTGCTAATGATCAACATATCATCAACATAGAGACAAAAGAATATCACAATGTTCTCAAGCACTTTTATGTACAAACATTTGTCACAAAAATTATGAACAAATCCATTACAATGTATGACATCGTCAAACTTTTGATGCCATTATTTTAATGCTTGTTCTAATCCATAGAGGGATTTAACAAGTTTGAACACCTTTTGTTAATTTCCAGGAAGCACGTAACCTTTAAGTTACTCCATGTAAATATCACCATCAAGATCTCCATTTAGGAATGTCATTTTGACATCTATTTGATGAACTATAAGGTCATACAAACAATGCTCTAATTGTCTTTGTCCTTACTACCAGTGCATATGTGTCAAAATAATCAACACCTTCCTTTCGTCTAAAACTCTTGGCTACTAATATAGTCTTGTAAGTGTTTAGTGTACCATCACAATGATACTTCCTTCTAAAAACCCATTTTCATCCAATGGGTTTTTATCCCTTAGATAGATCGACAAGCTCCCAAGTGTGATTTGACATTATTGAATTCATTTCATCTTAGATACCATTTTTCCAAAAGGAATAGTCCCTTGAAGCTTCTGCTTCCTTATATGTCTTAGGATCATCTTCCATTTGAAGAATAATAGGAATTTTACAAATAAAATTCTCACTATTTCCTTCTACAAGATAAAAAGGAAATAAGTCAAAAATTGATTCTGTTTGGTTCTAGATTCTTAAGTCTTTCAGACTCTCTTGTTTATCCTAAGCTCGAGTTGTATTTCAACAATCTGTGAAGGCCTTTAAGTTTGTGTTTCAACAATCTGTGGAGGGTGTTCCTCACGAGGTTCTTCATTTGTGGGAAACTCTGATTTCTTATCTTTTGTAATAAGTTTCTCAAAGAATTTCACAACTCGGGATTCAACTGTTATACAAGATCCCTCGAGGAACCAACTTAGTCTTTTTAGGATCCATGTTCTTATAATAATAAGCCACATACTATAAAATAACAAATGTTTTATGCTTTATCTTTCCGTACCTCATATGGAGAAATACACATTTTCTTCAAAGGAATTATATTCATTATATGACAAGAAAATAGTAAAGTTTCACCTCATAAATTAAATGACAATTCATAATGCATTCATATGGAATTTATAACTTCATGATATGTCAGATTCTTTCTTTCGGCTAGACCATTTTGTTGTGGTATATGAGGTGCGAAACACTCATGTAAAATTCAGTAGAAAAATATTCACTGCCCCTCCTAAGAAATTTAATATTTCTACTTAATTAATTTTATACTTCCGCTTTATAAATTTTAAATGTATTAAAATCATCATCTTTATGTTTTAAAAGATACACATGTGTGAATCCAAAGCAATCATCAGTAAAAGTAATGAATTACCTATTTCCTCCAAGAATTAACATACCATTAAATTCACATAAACTTGAATGCACAAGATCAAGCAAGTTGGTATTTCGTTCTACACTATGAAAAGGTTTCTGAATAATTTTTTATTTAACACATATTTCACATTTTTCAAAATTATTAACATCACATTAAATAAAATCATATTTAATTAATCTTTTCATATTGTTAATACCTATACTTGTAAAAAAAATTATAGGTGTGCATGTTCCCTCTGCAAGGACAGTGAGACTCAGAGGCCTTAGTAGGTTTATAACAGAGTTTGGTGGTTAGAACTTGCCCACGAAGGCGAGAATCCATGTACGGTGGTGTTTTAAGGTAGCTTAGGAGTCCTGCTCACGTGAGGTGAGAGACTCTGCTAATGGTTGATGATGACTGGTGTCAAGCGTGTGGTAAGACAAAGATAAGTGTTGTGCTCTATATGGTGTGGAGAATATGTATCCCTTGAGGTCTATCATTTCTCCCTTAAAGGGAGCTATATTTATAGAGGTTCTTAGGACCCAGGGTTTTCTTAGAAACGGTCACCGCCCACTTAGTTAATGATGGATAATTGAATCCTTATTTTCAATGAAGTTGTGGGTCAATTAATGACCTTGACTTTCTATCTTCCTTAAGAATGTCTTATGCTACGTTTCCCAAGTAGGGATGAGGAAAACCACGTGGAGAGGTGATACCTCATTTGGGTGACATTCTATCGTCGCCTCTTGGTGCTCTTAGGGCATCACTCTAAGTGAGGCATTTTACAAATATAACACCACATAGTCCCTCAGGCATGAGTCCTATGATAGAAGACAAAGTGTTTTCCAGTCATAGCTTATGGCAGTATCC